GTGTGTGTGTGTGTGTGTGTGTGTGTGTGTGTGTGTGTGTGTGTGTGTGTGCATTCATATGTGCCTGTTATTTTGGTAATCTAATAAGATGCTGGTGCTGGAGGGGGCCCGTAGATTAAAGCTCCAAAGATTTTATGCTGATTAGCAGAGAGTGAGCTAAGAAGATCAGTCCTGCTGAGATGGCGATGAAACATTAAGCCCATGTGTTTTAATGCACTTTATGTTTACAGCAGCATTCCAAAGCTGGGTCCCTTTAACTCACGGGTACCTCAGTGATTTAGCACAACATACAGCAGATCAGGCATCCGAAATCCATACGTGTTAATGGATCAAAGAGAAGGACACCTGCAGAAGGACACGACTTTATCCAGGTGGCTTCAGTTTGAACCATTATTCTGAACACGACTGAGACGTGTTTTAATCAGGATAACACCTAAACCAAAGCCGCAGACTTTCAGGAGTTTTATTATATGAAATCTAATAATGAAAAAATAATAATGAAAAATAATAATGAAAAAAAGTCACCAACACATTTCCATTATTTAGCTCACTTTCAGAGTGTTAAAATACTTTTACTCCAGTTTACTTTTATTTAGCTCACTGTAGTTACATTTTGCAAATTTTCAAGAAATGTTCAATTTATATTTTAAATAATATATGTAAATATTAAATCCTAAATCTAAATGAATCAATCTAAATTTAAAAGTTAAATTATAAATGTTGTGGTTAAGAAGTTTACATTTAAGGGTTTGCAGTGACCAGTCTGAATGTCGTTTGGCCTGTAGCTTTTACCCCAATAGTCATAAAGTGCTTTGAGAGACTAGTTGTGGCCTCTATCCATAAATCCAAGGTCACTGTGGATCCACAGCAATGTGTAAATCAGAAGAATTGTTCCACAGAATATTCCAGAGCAAGTACTCATACGTTCACCTGTTGTTTGTGGACACATTTGCCTATAATTAATATCCACATTTTGGATCTGTTTGTCTCTAATGAATGTGCCACAGAGCTTTAAGGTTGCTGTAATTAAATTTTTACTTAAAAAACTGATTTTTATTCAGGAGTTCTGGCCAACTATAGACCTATATCTAAAATATTACTGAGGAAATAGTTGTAAATCAATTCTCTGAACATCTGAGCAGAAATAATTAGTTTGAGGAGTTTCAGTCAGGGTTTAGAGCTCATCATATCACAGAAACAGCACTGGTGGAAGTTACTAATGATATTCTCATGGCCTCAGACAGTGGACTTGTGTCCATTCTTGTCCTGTTAGATCTCAGTGCTGCATTTGATACAATCGATCACAATATGTTATTACAGAGGCTTGAATATGAAATGGTTTATGTCTTATTTAAATGACAGATTCCAGTTTGCTAATGTTAATACTGAATCTTTTTACACCAGAGTTAGTCATGGAGTTCCTCAGGGTTCAGTGCTTGGACCAATCCTCTTGATTTTAAACATGCTTCCATTATTTAAAGTTATTTTAATCAACATTGTATAAATGTCCATTGTTATGCTGATGATACTCATTTATATTTATCCATGAAATCTGATGAGTCTAATCAGTTACATAAATTACAAGCATGTCTTAAAGGCATAAGAAGGATGAGTCTTAATTTTCTGCTTCTTAACTCAGGCAAGACAGAGGTTATGGTTTTTTGGACATGAACATGATCAACTTTGCAGCCTTTCACCTTCTCTGGATGGCATTAATCTGGCCTCTAGTTCTAATATAAAGAACCTTGGTGTTAGTTTTGACCCGGTCATGTCTTTTAACCCCCACATTAAAAAGTTACCAGGACCACTTTCTTCCACCTGTGTAAAATCAAAAACATCTTGTTAAAAAATGATGCAGAAAAACTGATCCATGCATTTATCACATCTAAACTGGACTACTGTAAATCTTTATTATAGGTAAAGTCTTCAGTTGATCCAAAATGCTGCTGCTAGAGTTCTAATGAGATTGGCTCATTGACTCCCTGTCAAATTCAGAATTTCAAATATAACTTTTAACACACAAAACTCTCAACAACCAACTCCGTATTTTATCAACGATCTTATTGTTCCAAACTTTCCTAACAGAGCACTTCACTCTCAGACTGCAGGTTTACTTGTGGTTCCTCGAGTTTCTAAAAGTAGAATGGGAGGCAGTTATCAAGCTCCTGAATGAAACTGAACTGTCTATCACCATCACAGACACTGGCTGTGTGTTGAGCCCCCTTCTGTTCACTTTTCTCATTACGACTGCTAATCAAAACGTCCAGGCAGTCATATTGTGAGGTTTGACTCATGGTGGAATGCATCACTAATAACAATCATTCTGACTACAGACAGGAGGTGGAACAGCTCAAGGGTTGCTGTGAAGAAAAAAAAAGGTAACGATCAACGTAAAGAAGATCAACGAGCGCTTCAGGAAGAATGGACACCAATAGACACCCCTTTACCTAGTCTGTTGGAGGAACAATGGAAGTGGTGTCCAGATTCAGGTGCTTGGGGGGTGCACCTAAATGAAGACTTGACCTGAAGTAATTAAACTTCCTGGTAAAGAAGGCACACCAGAGCCTTCACTTCCTCAGACGGCTGAGGCGTGCAGGTCTAGGAGCTCAGTCCCGATGCAGTGGAAAGTTTTCTGTCCTCCAGCATGGCTGTGTGGCCAGGCAGCTGCTGTGCCTAAGTTTCAGAGGGTGGTAAACACTGCACAGAATACTATAGGAGACAGCCATCCCACCGTTAATTTACACCTTCATCAGAGGAAAGACCTTCTGCATGGAAGACCCCATCCACCCCTCACACACTTYACTCCCGCTCCCTTCACACAGAAAGTTGCAGAGGCCTAGACCCTCCACTGTGACGCTGTTTTGCTGAACCCTGGTGGGGCTTTGTAGCAGTGCTGTTGGTACTTTTTTTTTATACTTTTCTACTTACTTTTCCAATTATTGTTGGTAGTTTTAAGACTTTTACTTAAGTACTTTTTGTATCAATAAAAACTGTTTTCAAGTTATTTTCTGTTAAGGTATTTTTATTTTTTTTATATACACCATGGTTAAGTTAATCCAAGTCATTTAAGCGCTGAACAATAATTCCTTTTTTTTTACATGAAAGTGGGTGCACGGGAGCACAAGTTGGAACAACAATGTTGTTACTCAAGTCTCAACTTTAGCCCATCAACAGGCAGAAGTAGTGTAATAACGCTAATGATAAAATAAATAACAGCAGAATCAATATCAGCAATAAAATAAGCTACAGACGTGTGGAATTACTTAACCAAGTTATGTCAGCTGGTTCCACTAAGGAATGTAAAGAAAATCACACATTTTCTTAGAAATAAAATGCATAAGTTGCCAGTTTTTCTCAGGTCAGTTTAGTGGAACCAGCTGATAACTTGGTTAGGTAAATTCAACACTTCATTTTTTAGAGTGCATAAACAACTCCTGATGAATTCTGAATGAATATTCAATATTTGTTACGTGCAAGATGTAAAATTTTAACGTAAAGAAGTAAAAGTATTGCTTTTATGTTTTGAATGTAACAAAATAAAAGAAAAAAAACTAGTAAAATTAGAGATCCTCAAACAAATTACTTGATTGTAACAAAGTAAATGTGCTTCGTTACTATAAAACTCTGAATTTGACTAGCACAGTGTCTCAGTTTGGACATTTTAACATAAAAACTAGTCCGTTTTTTTAAAAACACATTTTTAACCCAACAAATCTCTATCAGTACTTCAAATGCTCTGCATGGAGGCTTTACACTCTAAAAAATGAAATGTTGAATTTACTTAACCAAACTTGTTTCACAAGCTGAGTAAGGGGAGCAATTTACACATTTTGTTTTAAAGAAATGTGAAAATTTCTTTACATTTACTCAACTCTGTTTAGTGAAACCAGTTTGATTTAGGGGTGTCCCGATACCAGTTTTTTCAAGACTGAGTACAAGTACGAGCACTTCAGTTTAGGAACTCACCGCTACCGCTACCGCTACCGATACCAAGTAGCGGGGTTAGGGTGGATTATCTGTTCAACTTGTTGAATATTAAACAGAATGAAAATGAAATGCAATTATCATGCAAAAATTGATGGGTAAATATGTTTGACAATAAAAAGGTAGTGCAAATTCTGACAAGTAGATACAGTAAGTTGGGATATATATCACACCATAACTTTTGAAACCATTTATT